GGCGTTTCGAGTTCATTGCATTTAATGTGCCAGGTGAAGCTACTAGAACCTGGGATTCCAGAACTCCAGGATTTTCTAAAATCATCTCCATTGTTCACATTCTCGACTTCCTAAAGTTTCAAGATTTTCAATTATTCATGCACCAGGATGAGTTAGTAGGGAATATTGGGCTCCCTGGTGTTTCTAATCTCCTTTGATCCCTGAAAAGAGATAACGACCTCCTGCTTCTTGGAGCCCACAGGAGCAATTCCATAGGAACGTCCTATGAGAAATAATGGGTGGAAGAGCCCAGGAGAGGATGAGCAACAGAGGGGGAGCTGATGAGGACCGGAGTTCTCTGGTGGAACCTGTGGTTGCTCGAACCCCTTCCTGTCAGGGAACTGCTGCAAGGAGTTACCTGGGTGGAGGCCCCGCCCCATCATGAAGACCCTGATGCTCTAAGTTGGACACCTGTGTGGGCCCAAGAGGAAGGAGAGTGTGCTGCTGTGCAGTTGTGCATGAAAGAGAGGGCCTGGGTGGGCTAAGGGATGAGTGAGGGGGAAATCCTCACTCAGGGAAAAGATGCCCTTTTCTTCCCATGAAAGTGCTATCAGCTATCTAGCTCTATATCCTGAGGTGGTAGCTGCCAAGAGGGCACCTTTTAAAAAGTTGCCACAGGGATTTATGTGGCCTTGCCCAGCCAGCAGGATCAGACTCGCCACAGAGGCCCAAAAGAGGTAAACATGACCCCTAACCCCAATCCCACATCCTGAAGTCTTATATGATCCCCAGTGACCAAGATTGGTTCTCCTACTACTATGACACATGGGAGCTTAGAGTCAGATTAATTTTATTTTCAGGGGGAGCAGTCTTCAAGTTTCAAAGGTACACCAAAAATAAACCAATATAAGGGCTATGGATGTGGCTCTGTGGGAGAGCATGTGCTTAGCACGTGTGAGGCCCTGGGTTCAATCTCTAGCATCAAAGATAATAACAAATTTTTAAAAGTGCTCTTTCTCATAGCCAGAATTGTGGAATAAAACCCACGGGTCTCTCTCAGTATATGGACTTGCATGAACCCCCTCATCACTGGGGGGCTATGAATGTCACCTAGCATCACAGTCCTCGGGGTCCTGTCTCAAGCAGAAGGCCTCTCTCCCAGGGCTGGACACCTCGTGGCTGATGTCTCCTTGTGGAGTTAAAGAAGACTTCCCAGATCCCCTGACAGGTGAAATAGCCCTACTCCACCATGCCGATGGCGTCTGATTGGATTATCCTGTGAGGGCTGGAGGCCACTCTGCACAGCTCAGGAATTCATTAAGGCTTCCTGGTCGTGAGAGTGATCCTCAGGGGCAGCAGAGGGTGTGGGCAAGTCAATGTGCCAGAGCAGAGGAGCTTGCCAGAGAGACGGTGCCAGATGGCAAGGACAACCAGGGCAGCAGAGCAGCCCAGGAGGGCTTCAGAAAGCTCTGCCAGGTGACTCACCTGAGCCTGAGGGCACAGGAAACCCAGGCCTGCTTCCTCAAAAGAATGAGCAGACAGAAGCAGCACTTCTCTCAGACCCCAGCCCCACCCCCATCACGTAGCTCACTTCACGCCTGGATAAGGGACAGCCACAAATCAACCTGTGGATACCTGAGCATAACTTGCCCCGCCCCCAGGTACCTAAAGATGTAGGTAGGACTTGATGGGAAATGTGGAAAGTGTAGAAAAATCTTACAGAAGACGATTTAAAAGTCACCCAAAAGGAAAACCCGTATATGCATCTAGAGCAGTATGGGATCAAGTTTAGGATTAGGGCAGGGTGGCCAAGTTTTCTCAGCCTGAATTCTAAAAGAAATGTTAATTGTGAAAATTCTTAAATATTCAGAATAGAGAGAAAAGGAGCAAATGTTCAGATACCTGCCACTTGTTTTTTAAAAATATTTTTTAGTTGTAGACGAACACAATACCTATATTTCCTTTTCCTTTTTCTTTTCTTTTCTTTCTTTCTTTTTTTTAAATAAATGTGGTGCTAGGGATCAAACCCAGTGCCTCATGCATGCTAGGCAAGCACTCTACTACTGAGCCACAACCCTACCCCCACTCGAGGTTTTATGTGCAGCTTTTTAAGTGTTTTAACATTTTAGTCAGAACTAATCTGGTGTGCATTTTTGAGGGATAAGGATATTCTCTTATATAACCTGAGTGCAGTTAGAGCTCCTTAAATTTACACTGATACAGTACTTTAATCTACCGTTCATTTTTCAATGTTGAGAACCTACTAAAGTCCTTGTCTCCAATCTAGGGTCAGATAATACATTTTGTTATCCTATCTCTTTTACCCCTACTATACCAAATTTCACCAAATAATCACTGCAGATTTTATGTCTTTTTTTAAAAAAAAAAAAGTGGAGTAAGACCATTATGTAAAACCTTTTCTTTTTAAATTTGTCGGTATTACTTAAGCATCATTTATTACTAAACTGTTTTGCTCCCATATTAGGATGCATGGAATTCTTGTGCATATTCGTTAGAATTGAATAGTCCAAATCAAGGCACGTTATTATTTCTACAGTCTTTCTTTGTTTCGTATGATGTTGGCATTTTTGAAGGATTCACACCTCTCCGTTCAGTTTTAATAGAATGCTCCTCACTCTGTGTTTATCAGATGTCCCTTGTGTTTAGGTTAAGGTTATGCATTCCTAGCCTGATGACTGCATAGATGGCCGCCATCTGTCCCTTGTTGGTGACGTTAATTTTAAACCCCAGAGTTTGGCCCAATTTCTCCACTGTATAATTACTATTCTTTTTCTCCCTGCGGTCAATAAGGAGTCTGTGGTTAGAGTTTAAGACAATGCAAATATCCTGCTTGTCACCAAAATTTCCTCTTCGGTTCAATATCTAATGACGATTCTGGGCATAGAGAGGAAAACTCAGGAGGCAAATGGAAACTGGCCCTTTGGGGGAAGTTGAAATATTTTTGTCCCATTGAATATTCCAGAGTGAGAAAGAAGGCAGTGATGTGAGAAGAAACAGGGACCAGACGACAAAGGGCCTGAAGAGGTTTGGAGTGTCTGTTCTCTTCTGCAGGAGGTGGGTTGGGGGGTCACTGCACGGGCTGGATGGAAGATAGGAGGGCGGTTAGAGGCCTCTCCATCATCGAGGCTGAGTTGGCCTAGCCCACAACCCGAGAGCTCTGGGGTCAGGGAGACACAGATAGGGCAGCTCAATATTATACCACTTCAGGGGCATGTGCGGAGTTAACAGCCTAGAGCGCTGGGTTTACTGTGAGCACAGGAACCCTTGTTTTAGTCATCTTTGTGCTGCTGTGACCGAAAGGCCCAACAAGAACAATGCAGAGGAGGAAAAGTTCATTCAGCGCTCATGGTTTCTGAGGTTCATTCCATAGTTGGTTGACTCCATGGCTCTGGGCCCCAGGTGAGGCAGAACATCATGGTGGAAGGGTGTGGCCGAGGGAAGCAGTTTAGGACATGCCACCGGGAAGGAGGGAGAGAGAGAGAGAGAGAGAGAGAGAGAGAGAGAGAGAGAGAGAGAGAGGAGAGAGAGAGAGAGAGAGAGAGCGAGAGAGCTCTCTGCTCACCGAGGACAAAATGTAAACCCCAAAGGCATGTCCCCAGTGTCCTGTCTCCTCCCACACGCCCTTCCTGTTTACAGTTACCACCCAATTAATCCATATCAGTGGATCAAATGTGAGCTTTTGAGAGATACCTCGTGTCCAACCTATAATAATCCCTTTTTTTCCTGAGTAAGTCCTCTCTTGCCAACCTGATGATCCAGGTGGGTTCTCATTGATAGACAGGAAGGATACATATGTGTATGTGTGTAGTGGTGGGAGGGATTAATTTCAGGAGGATTTAGAGTGATGGTGTAGCTAATGGTGTCTGTATCCCTGCAGCAGTGAAACAATCCACGTGTTTTCATTTCTTGAGCAGCAGAGCAGCACCTGGACAGAGGTGCCAGCACTTCTGTCCCACCCTGGCCCTCAGCAATTCATATATATATATATATATATATGGTGTGGGTGTGTGGGTATGTGTATGATAGTTATATTCATCCAAGGATTAAGGGAGCCATAGCTCCCAGAACTGTCTGTGGAAGAACAATGTTAGGAGTGTCTCAGGAGAATGAGATGGATGTTATATTATGTTGGCCACATAAACTAAGGAAGAATTTATAAGCTGGCAATTCCATTCATGTACCCACATGGTCATCTGGCGGCTATTATTGAGCTCCTACTATGTGTCAGGAATTACTGGAGATACTGGGGATGCAGGAAATCTCCTAGGAGGAGTGGTGGGAGGTGGGGAGTTGATGAGAGTACATGAATACCAAGAGGTATGCATGAGGAGGCAAGCACCCTCTATCAGCCTCTTGTTCCCCACTCTACCATAGCCCATTCTGTGCACTGACTGCCATTTGCTGATATTGCCACTCTAAAATTCATTGCTCAAGGCTTGCCTCAGTGTTCCCTTAATTCACATTTCATCAGCATGAACGTCAGACACATCCCACTGTGAGGTAAATAACTTCATCTCAAGGAGTCCTGAGGCATGGGTTCTGCCTTGGGGATATCCCAAATGTCACAATAGAGACTGGACTTTGTGTAATGTGGGCCACTTCCTCTGGACACAAAGGACCCCAGCAAGTGATGGTGCAGGAAAGTCCAATTTGTCAAGGACATGAAGTGGGGTACGGGTGAGCAAAGACTGCCCCAAATCCAAATCCAAAGTTTCCCATCTCCCCGCCATGTTGCCCAGCTCTGGTGCCATATACACTGGTGTCTTGGTGCCTCCATTCACAAAAGCCTGTATGTGAACTCGCAGGTGTCTGGACTGAACGCTTTGTCCTGGAGGTTAATAAGGAAGGAGCAGAAGCAGCCAGCAGAGAGCAGGCCCTTCCCCAGCTCTAACCTGGGGCCAAGCATGGACCATTCACAGGACTCATTCTGGCTCTAGCTCATCCTGTGACTCTAGACACCCAAACCCTTTCACTAGGGCATTTCCCAGGACATGACTCACCATTGCTGGCGATTTTAGAGATGCACTGATGACACGCCTTCTCCAGGCCGCCCGGCATTGTTCTTGCTCACTGGCAAAGTTATGGGGATAAAAATAAAAAATAATTCATTAGCAAGGTTAAAGGAAGGGTGTTCTAGCACTAGTGACTGTCTCTGGGCAGGTCTCTGGGGTATGCCAGGTTGTCTCAGTCAGCATGGGAGCCTGGGTGCCAGTGTCAGTGTGGGTCCACCTGCAGAGATGGCCTGGTTCTTGGGGCTGAGAGAAACATCTCATATTTCACAGCTGGGGAATGAAGCTGCTGGAGGTTAACAGGCTCATGATCCTACCCAGCCAGGAAGACACAGAACTAGAGAGAGAGAAAAAAAAACAGCTGCGGCTTACTACACAACCGCTCCACGCCAGACATTGTGTGGCCACTCTCATGTTTAGTCCCTAACAGTCCTCTAGTTTAACTCTATTTTATAGATGGAGCCTGGGAGGTTCATTTAGGTTCTGATTTGCCCTAAAGCCAGGGCTGACAACTGGCAGAGCCCAAATTTGATCCACATATGTGGTCAGAGCTGGGGTCTTTCTCACTTCCTGACACAAGTTCAACTTCTCTCCATTATAATGTCGCTCCCTGTGGACCTGAGGCTGAAGAGTCACCATGAACTTGACCGTGTATCAGCATGGAACCAAGACCTAAGTGCCACCCAGGTTTTACTGTGGATTTGCTGTCATCTGAGCAAGTTGGTTGACACTGGGAGAAAGGGATTCCCTTCCTTGGAAGAAATATCCATGAATTTAAAAACACACAACAAAAACCCAACCAATCAAGGCAGCAGATTTTCCTGCCTGGTAACGTAAAGACATTAGAAGGGGCAATAGCGGGAGGAAGCGGGAGGGTTCTTTAATTTCTTCATGCTTGGTGCCTGGGTACCGGTAGTTCTACCATTTTCTACCATTTCATTGGTAGAAATGAGGCCTCATTTCATTTGAAATGAGGCCTCAGCTGGGCCTGGAAGCGCCAGGCGGAATCTGGGTGAACCTCCTGACTTCACTCACACAGCCTCTCCAGGAACTGTTCTGAAGGCATGTGGCTCCGTGGGAAAGCAGTCATTGTTCCTAGTATGAAGGAGGAGGTTTGCAAACCTGGCCACCAAAACCTGTGAGCAGGGCCTCTGGGGACAGAGCGGGGTGAGGGTGGCAGCTGGAGAGGGGCCAGGCAGTGTTGGGCAGGATTGGTGGAGCAGATACAGAGGGGAGGAGGGTGATAGTAGCAGATGTGATTACCTCCACCGCCTGTCGTGGGCATGCACCTGCTGGCAGGAGGCCACCCTGGCAGGCAGCTCTTCTGGCAGCGTCTCCCCTCTGTTACCTTGCAGGTGGCATGAGTTAGCTAGAGCTGTAGGCTCTGGGGTTTTTGTGTCCCATCCCTCTGCTTCTAGGATATTCTGTGCTCCATGCCGGCTCTGTACCTGCAGGGTCTCTGTCCCCCAGCAGGAGACAGTGTGCTAGGAGGGGGCTGGTCCCAACAGAGGCAAATCACCATGCCCTGCCAAGGTCCTCCCCGTGTGGCCCTCGTTTAACCCTCCAGTGCCCTCAGAAGGCAGTTTTACAGAAAAGAGAGATTCAGGTCAATTCATTTGCTCAAAGTCACACAGTAAAACTGGGGTTGGAAATTAGGCCCTGGGACTCCATTTATACTTCAAAGGCTGTAATCTTTCCACCTGACACTAGAGCAGGAAAGGTTCCCAGAGCAGGTTGGGGACTCGGCAAGAGCATTGTGCCTTGTGGATTAGACCTGCAGCTGCCGGATCTTTTTTTTTGAGAGAGAGAGAGAGAGAGAGAGAGAGAGAGAGAGAGAGAGAGAATTTCAATATTTATTTTTCAGTTTTTGGCGGACACAACATCTTTGTTGGTATGTGGTGCTAAGGATCGAACCCGGGCTGCACGCATGCCAGGTGAGCGCGCTACCGATTGAGCCACATCCCCAGCCCCAGCTGCCGGATCTTATTTAGCCAGGTAAGCATTATTATCCCCATTTACAGATGAGGAAACTGAGGGTCAGAAAAGTTAAGAACCTGCCCAAGATCACACAGCCAGACTGGATCTCAGGTGTCTTAAGAACTGCCAAACTTACTCTTTCATGACCAGACGGACAGTTTTCAATGCACTAAGATGACAGGACACAAAGCAGCAGAGCTGAACACAGAGGGACTTTCAGCCCTGATCCCCTACCACATGTCACACTAGGCCATTCCCAGTGGGCCCATTGCTGTTCTCCTGGAAGCAACTGTGGAGGGTGTGTGAGTCTTTGTCTTCTGGGCACATAGTAGGTCTTCAGCATATTTAATGAATAAGTCCACAAACTACGATTCAAATCTCCCTTCACAAAGCTCTATTTTTCTACCCCGCGGTGCAAAAACTGTCTCCATGGTGTCCTTGCCCACAGAAAATCAGCGTAACTGCAGTCCTGCGTAAACATCAGCCTCCCCTGTATCCCTTTTCTTGGCTTTCCACCCATCAAGGCGAAATTAGACCAGTTCTCTGGCCTAATGGGGTCAGCCAAGCACATGCCCTTTTGTTAACCAGGGCAGAGGCTGCAGTCATTGACAGGGGTGTGAATTACAGATTAACAGTTGGTGTCCACACTTAATGAGCTTGTCTACCTCGGGAGTGCCACACTAGCAGTCACTTGAAACCCCGTCCAGAAGCACACCCTCCCATACTGGGTACAAACTCAGTTACCTACAGGAACAGGCAGGTGCCAGTCTGGCCCTAATCTGGGCTCCTGATGGTGACAAGGTTTTTATGTAAAGAAGAGAGGAATCTTGTGTTACAGCAAGAGCTTTCCCCTCTCCATCCCCAGGGAGGCCTCTGCTGTGTCTGGGGCAAGTCTGAGGGGGTGAAGAGAAGCCGCACTCACTCTGTCTCTGGCCACATCACAGAAAAAGTCCCCAGTCCCTAGCCACGCTCTTCTTAAGTGTCAGCCCAGATGTGCAGCACCTCCTCTCTCAGGCAGCCCTCTTGGAGTTTACAACTGGGGAGCTTTGACCACATGGGCCTGGGTATCATGGACACAGCAAGCGACTAACATTGAGAAGCTGGTGGAATGTTCTTCTCCAGGGTTGGTGTGGACTTCACATCTTCTAGCCACAGGTTACAACATGCTCCTCAGGTCACAGAAGGGAAACATCACCGGGAGGGAAAACGAGGGCAGACTTGGCTCTCGTGCAGTTGAGATGACGCTGTTTGCAAACTGCCTTTGAAACACGGGGAATGGTTTCTATCGTACCCTCAACCCAAGGCACCCCGGTCTCTAAATCCACAGCAGCTTGGTGGAGACTGCCTGTGTCATGATATAACAATCCAAACTGTTAGCACAAGGAGACTGGGCAGGACACAAACTTCATAGATCATTTCAGCCTTTATTCAGGAACAGGACTACACCTACAGGAATGGACCCACTTTCCTGGTGGAAAATGAGCCACTGAAGTAAGAAAAGGACTGAGCTTATCTAGGTCATCCTAGAGGTGACTTAATGAATGAGCGTGTCAGCTTGGGCACTCAGGAATTTGGGGTCTGTTTTCCTGGGCAAAATAGGAGGGAGTCTGGCATTGACGGTCAGTCTTAGGGATTTATCTTACTGGGCTGGATGGAGGGCCTGGGGTCAGTGGTTGGAGTCTGGAGAGTGTTTGTTTAGGGAAGGATTTAATGCTTTAGCCCCTTCCCAGAGACTGCCTTTTTGGGTTTGATGGACACCTCCTCCCAAGGTTAATTTTATCACTGGGAAAGAATGTACTGGGAAAGGATCAGTGCCTCCAATTTATGGCTTTCTTTCTCACTCCCCTTTTCTCAGGCCTCATTATTTTGGGGCTTGTCATTTCCCATATCTAATGCGAACATTTGTGCTTTGGCCCTTTAAGGGGGCCCAAGCTCCAGTTTTCTGAGAATCTTGAAGAATGATGTCAAACTGCAAATGATGTCAAACTTTAGCCCCTAACTGCAAATAATGGTAGAAACATTACTTTATAAAGCAAAACAAACAACGACAAAAAAAAAAGGTATACTTATTGGGATTAATATTAGACTAGATTCATTTTATAAAATGAAACAGTTCTTATTCCTTCAAACTCTTTATTTTCATAAACTGACAAGATGGATGAGAACTAAGAAAAGAATGATGTGCTATTAATCCTGTCACGCCTTAAAGACTGTTCCTGATGGCACTGAGCTTTGGCACCCAGCTGGAAAGGGAACATGGAATCCCCACCAAGAGCCCCAGACACTGGCCATCAAACTCCGTGCACTGTGTCCAGCTTCCCTTACAAGGAATGTCACTAAACCAACTGCGAGGTGTCATTTCCCACCTTCTATTGTCAAAGATCCAATGGTTCAGGGTTTTAAAAGAGGAAGGGACAAAGCGAAGGATACCCTGTCTGTGAGAATATAAATGGGTGACACTTTCTTCGAGGGCAATTTGGCACAACCTACCACAATCATGCTAGGCAGGGTGTTTTGTGTTATATACATACACGCAATTTCATTCATGTGATAATGTCTACATGTTTGTGTAAATGCATAGGAAAACATCAGAAGCACACTCACCAAACCTCAGTTGATGATCCTTCCCTGTGGAGACAGGTACAGGGAAAGGGGCCTTAGAGGATAGGGTATTTGGAACGTTTTAGAGGCAGGCATGGAAAATATTTTTATTTCCATTCTATCTCCTAGTATTGCCTGACTTTTGCTCCTCCCCCAACATGAGCATTTATAATTTAAATGAGGGGGTGGGGACATGTAGCTCAGTGGTAGAACTTTTCATAGTATGTATGAGGCCCTAGGTCTGAGCCCCAATACTACAAAAACAAACCAAACAAAAACAAAACAACAACAACAACAACAACAACAACAAAACCCAAACCTTTTTATTTAAACCCTCCTAAAGTTCAAGAACTATTCAAAAAAAAAAAAAAAGAAGTTTAATTGTTTTCCAAAATTCCAGAGCTAAAAAAAAAAAAAGTAGCATATTAGGAGGATAAGTAAGGGGAAAGTCTCCCTGAGAGCAGAAATCTA